ATAGATAGATAGATAGATAGATAGATAGATAGATAGATAGATAGATAGATAGATAGATAGATAGATAGTTAAGACAGACAGACTGATAGATAGATAGGGATGGTAGAAAGATAGAGTAGATAGGATAGAGAGATAGAGAGATAGAGAGATAGATAGATTAGATAGAGAGATAGATAGATAGACACACAGACAGACAGACAGACAGATAGATAGACAAACAGATAGATGAGAGAGAGAGATGATTAATAGATGATAGATGATGGATACATAGATAGATGAGAGAGAGAGATATGATAGACCAATGATGGATGGATGGATAGATGATAGATATTTTGCACCATTCCTGCCACACTCCCCATTTCCCAAAAACCTCCATATTTGGGGAGAAATCTTAAGCCTTCTTCAAAGCGGCTTGCCCCCCCTCCCCTCCCCCCGATCTTCCCTGCATCCCAATTCCCCCAAATCTCAACCTCTTTGTTGTAACCAACACTGGATGCGGTTATTCCAGGTGCGGCCTTACTAAGGCTTTACACAGCGGTGCTAATGCTTCACGTAATTTCGATTCTACGGCTCTGTTTGTGCAACCAAGAATTATATTAGCTTTTGGGGCCGCTGCCACACACTTCTGGATGGTCTTTAAGGACTCCAAGGCCCCCCTCAAAGTTACTACTTTGGAGCCAGGATTCATCTAATCTGTGCTTGTATCTTTGGCTCTTCCCACCCAGGTGTAAAATCCTTGCTTTTTCTCCCTATTAAACTTCATTTTGTTGGGAGTTTCTGTGTAGTTATTATAGTTATATTATTATGTTGTTCTCCATCCTTGGAAATCAGGAAACGGAGACCGGGGAATAACTCGGTCAGGAAACCGAGGTGAGAAGTCTTCAGCCAGGACTTCTCGGCCTCGGCTAGAACAGGGGTGGGACAGATGACCTCAAAGGACCCCCCTCCCTTCCTAAGAGCCCACTAGCAAACAATCCGTTATCGGGGCAGCTTTTAAAAAATCAGCAGGAAACAGCCGGAACGGCGAAGGGCAGGGAGGAGACCTTTGGCTAGGCAGGCACGCACACAAACACAAACACAATTCACACACACAGACACACACACACACAATTGTGCAATAGTGCAAGGAAGGCAGAAGTCTTCAAATTTGGGAGTCTCGGCTCAGGTAACCGGTGCAAAAGTCCAAATGGACAGGATATAACGCACAAGACTCACACAAACACACACACACACACACACAGAGCCCAGATCCAGCTGCCAAATCCAATCTGGTTTCTTTTTAAAGTCGATTTTTCTGTCCCCCCCACCCAAAAAAGAAGAGAGAAATATCTTTCTTTTTCAAGCTCTCAGCTGGGACATCCCAAGGATCCCCGTGGAGTCTTCGGATCGACCCCGTGCAGATGGAGAGAGGCCGCAGATGAGCCTCGGGTTCCAATTCTGTCAAGGGCTGGCCAGCCTAATAAATTGATTTATCTTTATTTCCTCAATTCCCGCGCCAGGAGGATCAACCGGCCAGCTGTTCGGGGCTGCGAGGGAGGATATCGGTATTGCAAAATACACATATATATATATTTTGCAAGGGGAAAAAAAAATAAGTAAAAAATTCAGCGTAACAGCGGAGCTCTGGGTATTAATTCTCAGATTTACGGGATTTTGAGGAAGGGTGGGTGGACTTGGGGCTGCCTGGGGGAACATTCCTGAAAATAGAGGCCAGATCCTAAAATAACAACTTTGCACATGACAACAAAACTCACACCAGGCGAAAGAGGGGAGGTTTGAGCAGGAAAGGGGATGCGTGAAAATTTAGCCAGCCTGCGTGGTTTTACAGCGCAATCCTCCCCCATATGGCTAGTCCTCGACTTACGACCACCAATGGGCACCAGATATTTTCGTGGCGAGGCGAGGCGGTTGCTAAGCGAGCCGCGCAGAATTTGCGGTGCTGAGCAAGGAGATCATTAAGCGAGTCGCGCAGAATTTGCATTGCTAAGCGAGGAGGTTGTTAAGCGAGTCGCGCAGAATTTGCATTGCTAAGCGAGGAGGTTGTTAAGCGAGTCG